AAAAAAAAATAGAATGACACCAACTTGGGTTAGCGCAATTAACGGTAAAAGAAACATGGCATCATAACGCAAAAGGTTTAATACATTGAGGAAGAACTGAGGGAAAAGCAACACGACAAAGAAAGAGAGAGATAAGGCATAAACCAATATATGGTATAACTATTATAATCTAATATATCTAGTCATTTATAATCAAAATTCAATATTATATAGTTGTGGATATAATTTTAGAATGTCAGCCCAAAATGTGCTAAAAGACAAAGCTCTGCAACTAGAAGTAAATGAAAACAAACATGAAATTTGGAGAAGGAAAACTTACAATGAACGGGAAAAGCCATGAAGTACCACTACCAGTTTGCCGAGCAGCAATAGTCGTGGGCCCAGAGAGTGAGGGTATCCAGAAGAACCCCTCAGTTAGAAGTCCCTGCAAAGTCCAGAGGGATGTGGCATAATATATTGTAATAATTGAAGAACACACAGAGGGCGCGAGGTAAGGAGAGAGAGAGAGAGAGAGAGAGAGAGAGAGAGAGAGAGAGAGAGAGAGAGAGAGAGAGAGAGAGAGAGAGAGAGAGAGAGAGAGAGAGAGAGAGAGGAATTGTAGTTCACCTCGTCGGCTACATTTGAAAGAGCTCTGTAGAGCCCAATCCATATGGGGATGGTAGCAAGAGTAGGAAGACATCCTGATTTTATAAAACATACACACTTGACTTGAGTATGAAGAACAGCAGAAAGAACTAAACCTTCATACTTTTTCAACAGTTAAACTGCTACCTCTCCGAGAAGACAGTGAAAAAGTAACATTTCCCCCTTTCGTCATCAGTTTCTTTTCTTAAGCTCAAGTCAAGAAAAAGGGTCCGAAGATAGGGTTTAGTACCTGCCAGTGGATTTATGCCAGCCAGTTTGTACAATCGAGCTGTTTCCATTTGTATTTTCTCCTGTACCAATAATATGTAAGAAAACGCAATGGGAAAACCAACAAAATTATGAAAAAAAAAAAAACATCTCAAAATTGTATCAGTCACAATAATAAAAAAATTAAAATAATATATTTATACTAATTCAAAGAGAGTCTCAGATAAACAGTACCAAGAGATATTTAAATTAAGATCCTTCGAAAGACAAAGAGTAACCTGATTTCCAGCATATCTTTCCTGAATAGCCTTTATCTGAGGTGCCAAAGATTGCATGGCCATTGCCGATTCCACCTACACATGACAGTTTATAAGACAGGCAAAAAGGACTGGACATTACGTAGAAGATTTTGATATGTGCATAATTAAATCTAGATTCTCAAATAGCAACTACCGTGAAGATATGTCAAATAGGAGCAGATAATAACCTGTTTCTTTGACAAAGGAAAAGTAACAGCCTTAACAAGAACTGTCAGTAAAATGATGGCAAAACCATACGCATAAGGGACGTGAAGAGTGGAAAGTCCATCTTTAAGAACCTGAAAAACAGCACAGGCATTTAACACCTATATCAATGTATCTTGCAGAAACAATCAACCTGGAAAAGAATTTCTAGGTATCTCAATTAATGCTTTTAACTGAAGGCATAGCACACTGCATAACAACAAAGGAATGTATTAGGTTTCTCTCTCCTCTAGTCCTCAATATCAAAGGTTAAATAGAGCAGTTCACCAATTCTCCTGACAATGTATCCTCCAATGCACAGCTTTCATTCATTAATGATAGCAAGGTTACACGAACTAAGTACTCGTTGTAGCTCAATAGTCAATAGAAATAGAATCACCAACAAACAATTACACAAGCAGATAGGCAGCAGATTCTTGTGATCAAGTTGCTGAACTGTTCTAGCTATTGGCAAAGGTTTAATTATTAGCAAAACTAAACATACTGTTAGGAACAATCTAGCAATTATGCCCGTTGATACTTGACTCACTGACTTATGTGTCTGTGTAAATATGTCAACACTTCTCATTTTGTAAGCAAGTAGCAAGTGTCCAAAAAAGCGTGTTACGGTGGTCTTGAAAATTTAGAGTTCAAATATTTTTGTAAATACTTTTTTCGATCCAAGAAAATAAAGTATGTCATTGTCAACTTCTGCATCAGATACACAAATGGGGGTGTGGGCATCTCATCAAATTTTTTAACTCTTCGGTCTAATGGTTTATCAAATTTTCGAACTTCCCATTTCGTGTTCTAAAGATAGCACAACTTCTAGATGAGATTCCCAAAGCACAACCTGCAGCAATTTTATACAAGCAATCATGGTACACAGCAACACTTTTCTCTAATGCAAAACACAGTTCTATAATCATAACTTAGCTAGGAAAGGGAAACAAAAGATTTTTACAGTTTCTTAACAAACCTTCAGTACAACTTCCATGACATTGGTAATCCCAGAAAGCCAGTCGCTGCTCTGCCTGTTTGTACTAACCGCATCAACTGTATCCGAAGAAGTGACTGTAGCGTCAGCAATAGTGTAAAGAAACCCTTCAACTCTGCCAATCAAATCTCTGAAAAGCAGCTCGGCGTTTTCTGGGTCAGGAGACGGCAACTGGCCGAGGCCAAATCGGGCCAACCCAAGACTGCCCCTAAATAAGGGTTTATGTGTAGAGAAACTGCTGAAATTGGCTCTTTGAAAAACTGGGTTCACAGTGCTTATTCTTGTTCTGCCTGGGGATGGAGATACTACTAAATTTGGCCCGATAGAATAAAGAAAAGTCGACATTTTTTTTCTGAAAACTATATATATATATATATCCTCTCTTGGGTGTAGAAGAATGACGAAGAACTTGGCAACTACTACCTTGTGAAGATATATTAGATGAGGCAACGCAGACAGAGTCGACGAAAGATGGGAAATATGAAAGTGTTTTTCTCTTTATTTTATTTTTTTTAGGAAAAAGAAGCCAAACAATTATTTAAAAAAAAAATGATTGAAAAAAAAAAAGAGTGGAGAAAAATATAACAGACGTATTATGATAATACGTTTTTTTAGGTAAAACGTATTCTCGTACTCTTATAATACGTTTTATGATGAATAAAATTAATAACGTCATTAAGTTAATTAAAATTTACATAAATCGTCATTAAATTAATTTAAAAAAAAATGTATTATAGAAATACGTTTTAAAAGTAAATGTATTATAGAAATACGTGTTACTAGTAAAACGTATTTTGATAATACATACGTGTTACTAGTAAAACGTATTTTGATAATACATATTTATAATATTATTTGTTGCTAAAATTAATTAAAAATTTTTAAAAGCGTATGTTGAAAATACGTTTTTTATAAAAACGTATTGTGAAAGCACGTTTTTAGTCAGCCAATTTTGCCCCAAAATTAATTTTGCCCTAATTTTTTGTTTGCCATAAACCATATTCTGAAAATACGGTTTAAAAAAAAAAATATAAATAAACTAAAACGTATTCTGGGAATACGTTTTCCTGTGCAGAAACAACAACTTTACAAAAAAAATAAAAGAAAACACACCTGTTTGTCGAAATCGATTCCACAACCAAATATTCAACAACTAAAATTCATCCAAAATATATAAATCCACAAACAAAATTGAACCACAATAATTTATTCAAAATACCAATATGTCTGAATTTAATTACACAAAATTCAAGAAAAAAAAAAACAAAAATGTCCATAAATTTCCCTAATAGTTGGTAGGAGTGAATTGATCCGGAGGTTTGCGCTGTCGGGAGCCCATCCGACGCTGGTACGTTTGTAAAGAAGATGAGGTTGTGGGCGTGGCAGCTTCTTCTTCTTCATCTGAATAATTGATATTTTAAGAAAATCAGAAATTCTACTTGACAATAAATAAATAAATAATTAAAAAAATCATATTGAAGTTAAATAAAAAATTATGACCTTCTTGTTCGTCTTGCTGAGGCACGATGTTGGCAGCGGGTTCGCGGGCATGGCGTCTTCTACGTCCACCAATATTGGCAGCGGGTTGATGCCTCGCCCGGTGCGACTGCGTCGTTTGGGGTCGGACGTAGCTCTCCTGAGATAGAACTTGACTCGACGACGTCCCTTGCGTGACCCCTTGTCCTCCGACAGTCACTCCACTATAGACCATGTTTTGGGACTGGGCAATTATGACCTGCTTCTCTGGAGTGAGGTTGTCAAAGTCAAGACTCGATAACAAGTTAAAAACTCCCTCTATGGCATGAGTCTGAAAATTAAATTTAAAATAATTAGTATTAAACACACAAAAAAAAATCATAACAATAAAAAAAACCACAAATTATGAACACTTACACTTCACATCCCCTGCTCGGCAAGTGGCTGATAGCCTCCTTCTTATTGGACCGTCGGGTAGTTGGCAGGGTTACTGATTAGTCTCACAGTCCTCTCGTGAAACTAATCTAGTTAACCCGCCTTAGGCTCAATGAATGACTCCACAGGGTAATGTGGGAAGACATTTTGGGCTCTTTGTTCGACCCAAACATTCCCAAGCGGTCCATGAAAGGCGACCCAATCAAAGAATGCCCTCCCAGAAATTCTTTGGCCTCGGTGGTGTGTCTGGTATTCGGCCAAACCCCTAATGATCGGAGGGTCGGGGATGGATTGCTGATACCCGAACTGACGGAGGACCCTATCAGGCATGTGGGGTTCATGATTGTTCCAACAGAACATCCACCCTTTATACATCCAGAGGCGTGAACCTTCTGTACACTGGGCCGGGAGAGTAGCCTCGTCCAGGTGACGCTTATAGGGCACCAAATCGAACTGTAAAAAAAACAAATAGGAATTAAGTTATAAAAAAGTTAAAAACAAAAAACATATATAAATAATAATCAATATGACTTAATAATAATCTTACATCATTCTCTCTCAGCCCTGTTAATTGGTCTCGGATAGCGGTTGTTCTCTTTCCTATGTGTGTCATGTTCCTCCGTCCCACCCACCTTAAAAATCACATAATAACAAACAAAAAAAAAAAACTTTTTGTAATTACAAAATTTGATAATTAAAATATTCTAAGATTTAAATAAATATAAATGTGATTACCTTCCTCCTAATGGAAAACCATCAACTCTCTCAAAGTTCGTATCCCTCATTCTTGGGCGAATACGAGGGATACGTTCTCATGCCCAAACCTACACATATTAATTGTAAAACGTATTGTAGGAATATGTTTTACACTTAATTAATTGTAAAACGTATTCTGGAAGTACGTTTTAAACTGGGAAAAAAAAACCTTGGTGATGTTCACACGACTCGAATGCACCTGTTTTTGCCGTTATTCGTCCTGATTTCATTTTCAAAACAACCAGCTAAATCAAAATTACACTAACTATTCCATTTTTTAATCGGCATCTTTATCTTGGAGTGCCTCGTTGTAAGTCCTTGGGTCCGATTCTAGGTTTTTTGGAACTGAGCCCTTAGACTCTCCAAGACCTATCCATCGGTCGGGTAACTGAGAAACCCTCGCACTATGCTGAGGTACTGTCTGCACTAGTACCCTATCAGTGTGCCGTGTTGCAGTATTATGTGATGTATCTACTTGCGCACTCGGTGGGGAACTATCGACTTCTCCCCTTAACTCCTCTAAGACTAGTCTACTATCGGGCTTACGATTCATAATATAGTCTTCTTCCAAGAATCTAGTGTTCGTGCTAACGATCACCATCTGATCCTAGGGACTATAAAATAATTCACCTTTCGTTCCCTTGAGATAGCCAACGAACACTCGTGCTTCCGAACGTTTCTCCAACTTGCCAGCTTCCTGCACTAACACGTGTGCAGGACTACCCCATACTCGAAACTGTGAGAACCTGGGCTTGCGCCCTTTCCACATCTCATAAAGAGTAGTTTCTACCGACTTTGAAGGAACCATGTTCAGAATATACACAGTCGTCTCTAGTGCCAATCCCCAGAACGAATATGGTAATCTCGATTAACTCATCATTGACCTAACCATTTCCATAAGAGTCTTATTTCTTCGCTCTGCAACCCCGTTCTACTGGGGCGTGCCGGGTGCAGTCAATTGGGATTCAATTCCAGTTTCCGATAAGTATGTCCTGAACTCTCCAAAGAGGTATTCGTCACCTCGATCAAATCGAAGTGACTTGATACTTTTACCATGAAGCTTCTCCACAACTGCCCGATACTCCTTGAATTTCTCAAAGCATTCAGACTTACGGTGCAACAGATAAATGTACCCATATCTCGAGTAATCATCAATAAAAGTTGGATAGTGCTTTTCCAATGGACCGAAAAGTCCACTGGCCACTAACATTTGAATCCTCCTAAGGTTGATGTGCCCAAGTCTAAGGTGCCAAAGATATGCTTGATTCATACTCGAAGATTCCTTCCTCTTATTAGATTTAGTCACGACATTATTCAATTCAACTTGTTGCAGTGTGGGAGAGTTTGGTTTAAGAACATGCAAATTGCCAACTACTGAACCAGAACAAATGAAATGCCTTCCATAACGAATAACAACCAAGTCATCAAACGTAAAGGAAAATCCATCTGGAACAAATTTAGAAACTGAAACAAGATTCTTTATAAAACTAGGAACATAAAGGCAATGTCTCAAAACCAAAATACTACTATCAAAAGATGTAGTAACGTCTCCCACTGCAACAACTGCCACTTTCGTAGCATCGCTCATGTAAACGGTGATCTCTCCCTCCTTAAGTCGTCTGGTTTCCTGGAACCCCTGCAATGAATTGCAGACATGATCAGTGGCTCCAGTATCTATACACTAGGTTCTGGTAGATACAATCGCTAAACATGTTTCTACGACATTAACGAGGGAGTTACCTTTCTTGAGGAGAGGGAAATCGACCTTCCAGTGTCCTGACTTATTGCACTTGTGGCATCTACTTTTCGGCTTCTTTGCCACAGCCTGAGGGGACGGTCGCTGGACCACTGGGCATCCTGCACCTTTGCCTTTCCTGCAGAATTCTTTCTCTTCCTGCCCTTGTGAGGCCTGGAAGGTCCAGCCTGCTCGGCAGCCAGTGCGTGAGGCGGCCTGAGTGAATAAGGCATCCACCGACTGAAGCTTTGCTAGCAGTTCTGGAAGAGCCATATGCATCTTGTGCATGTTGTAGTTCAACCGGAACTGATCAAAGCTCTTCGGTTAAGATTGGAACATGATATCAACCTGGGTTTCCCCGTCGATAAAACCTCTATAAACCTCAAGCTCGTTGAGCAGCGCCATAATCCTGAGGGCAAGCTCCCTTACGGGTGTGCCCTCGGCCATATGTATGCTCATCAGAGCACTCATAGCCTCTTGCCTAGCAGACCTGGACTGGTGTCCGAACAGATTCCTGAGATTGAGGAGTATATCTGCCACAGTGTCCTTAGACTGATGCTGATGTTGAAGAACATTTGCCATAGATGCCAGAATGTAACACTTCGCCATCTCATCAGCCTTTTTCCACCGAGCATACTCCGCTTTCTCCTGCTCAGGAGCATCAGCCGCGGGCTCTGCCAGGCAAGCATCAGTGATCGCAAACTTATAACCCTCAGTAGTCAACATAATGTCTAAGTTCCTCTTCCAATCAGTATAATTAGGGTCAGTAAGTTGATTTTCTTTTAGAATGAAAAATAACAGAGTGAATGACATGATGAATATCTGAGAAACACGAAAAAAAATTTACAGATTAAACACATTTGAATTTAACTGCTAATATTGATATCCTCAAAACAATATTAACTTAAATTCATCGACATCTCAAAACACCGAGAGTTAATGC